TGGCTAGGCAAGAAAGCAGTTTGAAAGTGGCACTGGAACAACGGTGGGATATGGTTCCTCGAAAAAGAGATTCAAAGGAAGAAAGGAAGTAAGGAAACGAGAAACGGCTTGAAACTTCTAGGGTGTCCACGAGTCGGAGCTCGTCGGAAGGTTTACATTCCACTCCCTATTCGGCCACAAGGAAGGAAAAGGACCCACCAATTCGAGGGGGAGGGAGGGAGGGAGGGAGACCGATACTTGTAACTTGCCTTTAGGAAGAATAAAGGTCCTAGCCATGGACGAGTTACATCCCCTTCCGAGCACATAGGAGAATTACATACGCACAATCCTCCGGTCCGGGTGGGTGGGGTGTGGGGTGAAAGAAAGCACATGAAAAGTGTGTGAAAAGGGCAAAGCGAGGGTGACGCCACCACCGGTCGCCTACTCCACTCGAAGAAGTCGAAGTTTTTGTTCGTTCCTATATGGATGGATAGATGGTGGCGGTTATTCCGGTCCCATCTTTAATGTAATGTTATCGAAACCGACTCCCTAGTTTCCAGTGTCCATTGTCTGACGGAAAGGGGGTGAGAGTGAGTGCTTGCATGTTGGGGTGGTCATAAACGACTCCCCACAGCAAGAGGAAAGGAACGACGTTCGGGACCGTTCATGTGCATGAGCGCTCAACCGTTGGAGTGGGAGCCAGGAGTTTTCGCCAAGTCGAAATGCCGAATGAGTATGAGCGCTTGGTACCGGTATAGGTCCTTATAGACATCGATACGACCGGAGATGAACGTGAGAAAAATTGTATGGCCCCACTACCATAAAGGAGACTGGATAGTGGAGACTTTGGTGAGCCTGGCTGGAGGATATTAACCGACACCGACACTGACAGGATACATAGGCGATAAGGCAACGTTATACTTAATCAAACGCTAGTGCTAGCGCTGGAAGAGGGGAGTCAAATCTGAACTCCCACACCGCCACTTTACAGTTCATATTAATAGAGTATAGAGTCCACAAGTTACAACCATGAGCCATGACGAAAGAAACACCGGGTGATACAACTGCGAAATGAAGAGACCGGAATACATTAAGACTGTATTGAAATGATATGATGTGTCGACCGACTTCGACATCAGGAACCCTGGAAATCAGAATATGGAGCGAGCAAAGATGTGGATCACTGTCATTGTGATTTGTTGCCGACTACCGAGCCGAAACTGTATAGGAATTCAAGAGCAAAGCAACGAGGGAGGTGGGAAGCTCGTGCTCGTTGGTACTTACACACTTACACCGAATACCTTGGTGTCGTCACAGAGTTGAGGATTATGGGGTCTAAAGTTCTTTCATTCTACACCGAATAGGACTATCGTCACTGCTGTATTCCAGAGATACGCGATTACCGGCGGCGGTGGCAGCGGCGGGGTACGGTGAGACTCGAGAGCGTGCTGTTCAAGTTGCGATAAGCTCGCTCGAAGGTCTTGAGACGTGTATGGGCGACGGCGGGGAGAAGACCGGTCGTATACATAGGTGGACTGTTGAGGACGCCCGATGGATACGGCGGTAAGTGCGATAAGCCCGAGCCCGAGCCCGAGGACGTCGCTCGTCATCGAGCTTGATAATGAGGCAAACCACGGAGAGATAAGGACTCGGGAGAGAATGAATCGAAATAGACACGTTTTCTGAGTTTGTCGAACGCATAAGGAAGGACGGCACGAACGAAAGGACTGCATGTATGTATCACTGTCATAAGCTAGACCGATATGAAGACAGATGGATTCGTCGTGTTGTGAAATGAATAGATAGACGTCTAGCGCGCCGTCATTGTTGGAGAAAAGCTGATAAGAAGCCGGACAAAGCAAGCTCTAGATAGGTATAAGAATAGAATAGAGATAGAGTATTCGGTGTAGCCCAGTGAGCGCAGAAGATTGACAGAGCAGAACGAGAGGAGAAACGAGGGCCATCATGTATCCTTCGTCATTGTTGGAGTCGAGCGAGAGAAAGAAACGTTTCTTGGTCGAGGAACGAATTCAGTAGAGCAGTGAAGAATGATAGGCGAGGAGATAACAACCCGCGCTATGTAAGCGCTAAATGATTTGGGGTTCCCCATCCGACTCAGGAAAGACGACACACGACGTAAATTGTTCGCCACTTGAATCCGAGCCGCCCATCGATGGAGGAGAAAGAGCAAAAGGGATTATATGACTTGGCAAACAGAACAGAGGGAAAGGGGCATTGTCCGCCGTCATCGTTGGAGCTTCGGCGACGCGAACAAAATTTTCAGGGTGCAACGAGAGTTAAGTCGGCAGCAGCGGCTTGAGAGCCTTGAATGGATGGAAGTGGAGATTGAATTCATTAAACAGTTGAGCTGTGAAAGATCAGAAAACCACGAATAAAGAGCCAAGTCCTAGTATGTACGTTGGACGTCTTTCGGAAGTTTGCTTGCTTGGAATGGGAAGGGAGGATTGATTGGGGAGAAACGTGGAACGTGGGTTGCATGGGCCCAGGCACCGAAAATCAGAAATCTTTCACACGATGGGCTTATCTCATATGGCTGTGCCGTGATGCCGTCGGCGGTCGTCGCTTATTTTCCTTCAACTCCACAGATTGCAGAATTTGAGAAAGGGAGAGGTTCGAGGCTCTCTCTCTTTTTCGAATTGGATACGATCTCTGGAGTTTTTGTGGATTTACGAAAATGTGGGGAAGGAAACGGTCCACGGACAGGAGGCGAGCGGGAAGTCAGCTACGGCAATTCCCACGCTTTGGCCATGGGCGCCACACCAAGTCATTAATTTTTTTTCTCGTATCGCCGTCGGCCCTGTGGATCGCCTCACAACTTGGACTCGCTCCACCACCACGGACAGCCACTCCACCGAAATGAAAAATTTTCATGAAAAATTTCGTTCGATGACTTCAGCAACAGCCGGAAGGGTGAAATCGCCAGGGTGGGCCAATGAATATCCGAATCTCCACTGAACCCCAGAATTGGATACGTACACCAGCTCCAACGGTCAACCTCCCTTTTGCATTATCTTTCAACCCCGAATCTGTTGCTCCACCACCGACAAGCTCGCTACTCTCTCATTTCTTTCCTTTTCCGATTTGCGTCATGGAAGGAGAGCGTATAAAATACGGCTGGCGAGGCTTTCGTTATTCCCCAGATTCCAACCCCAGACATCCAACAAAACAACAATGACTACTGCTATTCACACTACCGCAGCCACCAACCCAACCGTCGGCATTGCTGCATCCAAGCCAGCGACGACGACGACCAAGACTTTCCACGCTGATGCCGTTCTCTTTGACATGGTGTGTCCCGTTCGTTCTTTTCACGCTTCCAAATCTAACTCCCAAAGTGTGGACTCTAGGACGGTACTCTAACAGACTCTATCTCCGCTGTCGAAGCTGCTTGGGGTCGAGTGGCCCAACAGCTGAACATGGACAAGGACTACGTTATCGCTGCTACTCACGGCAAACGCGCCATCGACAACCTCCGACAACTCAAACCCCACCTCCAGGAACTCCATAACGACGATATGGACCCGCACGTTCAAGAATTCGAAGAGTCGATTCTGTTCTTCGCCGATGCGTACAACTCCCATGGACCTGGATCCCGCCGCAACTCGTTCGTCTCTACGCCATCGAGGAGTGACTCGTTCTCTTCTTCTTCCGACTCGACACCCCCTTTGACACCCGGCTCATCTGCACCTTCGTCGAGATCTTCTTCGATTGTGGCCAGTCAGACGAGGAGACCCTCATTCGGAACAAGGCTGGGGTCGATGTTGAGGATGACTATGGCAGAGGTTCCCGAGGCGCGAGTTGTCGAGCCTCATGAATTTGCTATGGAGGATGAGAGCGCTATCGTTGAGGACGACGTTGTTCAGATGGGCGGCAAGGGCAAGGAGGTGGGTTATCTTTCATCTATCTTCCCTCACTTACTTCGATAACTGATTATGTTTGTCTCTCCAAAATTGCAGATGTACCACGACATTACCTACCCGTCCACCTTCCACCCATGGCAAATCGACGCTTGCGCCGTCGATAGGTCCGTCAAGATCTTGCCCGGCGTCAAGAAGATGATCGATAGCATCCCCGTTGGGAGGTACGCCGTTGCTACCAGCGGTGCTAAGACATATGGTACGTCCCCATCCAGCTTCTCCCTCCCTTTCCCTCTCATCCTTATCTTCCCTTTTTTTACAGCTCACGGCTGCATGACCCGTGTCGGCATCACTCCACCCTCCGTCACCATCACCGCCGACGATAAACGTCTCAAAGCCGGCAAACCCGCCCCCGACCCATTCCTTCTCGCCGCTGACTGTCTCGGCTTCGACGCAAAACGATGTGTCGTCTTCGAAGATTCCCCCTCGGGGATTCGTGCCGGTGTGGCTTCGGGTGCGACGGTTATTGCTGTGTGCACTTCTCACCCGAGGGAAAAAGTGGAAGGGAATGGAGCGCATTTTGTGGTGGAGGATATGAGTCGGGTTAGGTGTATCTATGAGGAGAGCGAGGGGAGGCTGAGGTTTGAGGTTGATGTTGATGAGCAGTGATTGAGTCGTTTGTGTTGCTCGTTTTGATACCCTTTCCTGCTTCTCTCTTCTTCTCTCACATAATGGCCCCTTCACCGTCGCCCATCACGAAAATGTCTCGTCTCTTGCTATCGCTATCTTGCTCCTTGTAATTTTAGATCACTCTCCAGACGCTTGTAGAATCCCGTAATCTGTCAACCAATGTAGATATTTAGAATGCATGCCTCTATTCGTCTATAACCGTCTTGGGCCGAGACTTCTCTGAGTTCCCCGACTCGACTTCGCGCCCGCAGAAGCGAATCATTCAGCCAGTCGTTCACTGCAATCATTCTTTTGGTCCTCACACCGCCCATGATATGATTATACTGCACACACTTTGCGACCGAAGTAGTAATTGGCTTTCATACTTGAAAACCAATCGGCCCGGGCCCAGTCTCTCAATCGTTTTTCGCTCTCGATCTGAGTATAGTGCACACACTCAAAACCTGTTTTAACGGGCACATGGTGTAGTTGGTTATCACATCCGCTTAGCAATCGCTGAAGGATTTGTCAATGCGGGGGGTGCTGGGTTCAATTCCCAGTGTGTCCAATGTCCAGCGGAGTTCCATTTTTTGCTCGGTGCATACAAGGATAAAGCTTGGTTTCGCCATTGTGTCTAGGGTTGAATTTTCTAGTATTGCTCCAGGATGAACATACTGAGCGAGCGCGAAGAAGCTCTTCGTTGGGTGATCATTTCGGCTTATGACTTACTTACAACGAGATAAGTTTGTTCAACTGGAACCTGCTCTCTCTTGACGACTGGGCAAGCGGGGAAAATGTAGGTCGAATCCGAATCTAGCCAGGTCGATGGGTAGGTTACGGATGCCTTTTTCGTTTGAAGTAACACATCCAAATCGAACACGATTCTGGGGTATCTGCGCGTCACACGACGTGCGGAAGTTGTCGTATTCAGACCCGCGAATCCCACTTTCACGCTGCTAATGATAGCTCCCCCTTGCGAAATATAACCGTAAATCAGAAGTCTGGAGGGTATGTGACTGAGCGAGCGTTCCATTCAAGAGAAATCTGGATTGTCGTAAAGTGAAAGAAAGGGAGAAAGAGAGGCCAAGATAGCAACGACTAGCTTTTTAAGTGTCCACATCAATCTCCATATCTAACGACGAAGAGTCATCCTCTATCCCTGCTGTTGGTGTGAAATCCATCTGGTCGTCCGTGCCAGAGTCAATATCCATCTCGAGTACGTCCGGTGAATCTGTGGATAAGGCGCCCCATGTTGAATATTTTGGGTAGGAAAGAAGAGGAGGGAGGAGCAGCATACCTGTCAGGTCCTCGAACCGACTTTGAAAGTCCCTCGGGATCACTTCGAGGATCGGAAAACCCAAGGACTTTGCGTAGTCTATCGTGCTATAGTCAAAGCCTTTGGCTCTCTGCCACTTCTCCATGAAGTCATACGCCTCGGTTTGCCAATACGTATAATTCATGCGAAACCCGCTGATAAAGGAAGGCAGCCCGAGGGTGAGTCTGTCTACCCAGGTGATAGCCGACCCTCCTTCGGGGTCATAAGAATAGTAGTAGAGGTTTTCTCCTCGAAGCCAAGTCTCGATGTCCGGCGCACCGTCAGATAATCGAGGGGGCGGCGGTACAAATAGATAGCAGGGCGGGTTGAAATCCTTCTCTGGATCTTTTATATCAAATAGGAATCTCTGGTCCTCGGAAGTGAGCAGCAGTTCGATACCTGTGACGATACCTAAACATGAGGTCAATGTTCCATCTCTGTACCAAAGCTCGGTGAATGAGGAGGAAGATACAAACTGCAAGATGCCCAATCTCTTCGAGAGATTCCCAAACAGCTCAACACCCACCCGGCTTGTGTTAGCCATCCCTCCTCATGAAATGGAACGCGGTCTCCTGTTAGGCGTTCTGTGAACTTGAAGGTTATGCGCGAAGTTCGTCTCGTGAATTTGAATCTAGACCAGAATACTGTCAACATCACAGAACTGAGAAATCTTTGAGGGTTTCCAGAGCCACGCACCGCGTCCCTCTCCTCTCCATTGTTAGTGGTGAAATGGGCTTCCAACGTGCAAGACAAAGATCACATTTATAAACTACGTCCGGTTCGTGTGTCCACTCATGAAGCGGAATTTCCAAGAGGTATTTTAGAACAGTCCCCCGCCAAGTGGTCCATTTGTTGGTCCTGAGTTGTTCCCTCCAAAGCCGTATTCCACGATCAATCAGTCCCGATTTGTCATGTCTATAGATAACAGACACCTGCTGTGCAACCAACCGTTCCGGGACGTTGCAGATTATGTAGTTAAGCAAGATGGTGTCATCGTGGGACGCGTTGAGTGGTAAAGGTGGAAGCTCAAGGCACAAGGAACGGCCCTCCGAAAATCCCATGTCCGGCTCGCTGAGAAACATATGAGGGGAGCGATCGTCGAAGGGAGTCGGCCCGGGCGGCCCAAAACAGAGAGCTCCCGTTTGTGGGCGAAACCAAAGGCGGCTGAGCAAGTTATATGGGTCCACCAAAGATGCCCAAGATGGACGCTCATTGAACGAGGCGCCAGGAAATAGGGCCTGTCGGATATATAACAGTATCATCCCACCGTAGGTCAGCATTGTGGTCCCTGACAGTAAATGGACGGACCCTCGCCTTGGAGTGGAAATGAAGGTAACACCTCGCCTGAACGGAGTACCGGTTGTGTTTTAGGAAGTGGTGCACCGAAACAAGTTCTAGAGAGGGCGTTGGAATCATGATTATTTGCGTTACGTGTTCTGAAGACTTGAAGCGGCCCACCTTCGTTGAATATGATAACGGGAATAAGGCGAGAATCATTGAATGCTCGGAGCTGTGCCATAGCAGTCATTCTATTTCGAGTTCTATGAGGTGCGTGTTGGCGTTCGTTTGAGGTACGTGGTATACCTCTGCTGAGAAAATCGGATAATATCCTCCTTGAAAGACTGAAAAAGTATTATCATTATGTTGATGACAACCGAACTCGTTCGAATGAGCTGGCTCAAACCCACCTCGTATGAATTTTCCCCGATGTACTTGACAGCTAATAGTGGATTGGATTCATCCCTCCCGTTTGGATCCGCAACCGAGACAATCGAGACAACCCGCTCTGCTTCAGGCCGGCTGTCTTGCTCGAAAAACCCGATGTACCCTCTCCATGTGTCTTCGTGATAGAGGGTTCTGAGGAGGTTTATCCTTCCCAGCTCGATCCGTTCGTACTACAAGGTAGTGGTCGGTTGGATTTCATTACTGCTAGCACATCGATGAACGTACCTCCCGATATAGTATCTCCTTCCATTCCTCTCCTGGTTGGATTCGAACCAAGCTACATTCCGACCTGGAGTGCGAGTAGTAGTTGTTTTGAGTACCGTTGACGAGGTTGAAGATTCCTCCCCCAAGGTTCGTGTCGCCTGCAGAATGGAAAAACGACATGATAGCTGCTGTGTAAAGAGAGAAGATAGTAGTGTGGGTGTGAGTCGAAGAGATGCTGTTCGTGAGGTAACTGTTCGAGTGGGTCGCACAGTATGACTACGGGCATCTCCGAATCTGCTATAGATAGCCTGTGAGTTTGAGAACAGGTGATAGACGTCGTCCTTTGCGGCCAGTCGTTGAGATTCAGGGATTTTCGGAATACATCGGTGTGTGCTTATATGCAATGATTATGTAGTCGCTACAGTACGTTCCGGTTCCCTCTGCAGTCTTTGGCAGTAACAGGGCGATACAGACGCCCAGCAGACTCCAGAGCGCTCTTCACAAGCTCAGGGCTCAACGAATATCGATGAAGATGATGCAGGAATAAAGCTAGGTTGAATCTGAGGTGAATTGTTCAAGGGGAGTCGTGGGGTGGATTCCATGGTTGCAGATTACGGTGGTCCAGATGGGATTGGAGAGAAGACGAATAGGGAAGAGTGAAGGAGTTTGAATACAGCGATAGAGTTCAACGAGTTCATCACGTCGAATAGCTATATGGTTTCTTCTACCGCTTCATCCAACCCAATTGAAGTTTTCTTGAAGATTATGAACCTGGTCCTCTCGGGCGTTCGTCAGCTCGAGAGAACTTGGACATTGGACGGGAACCTATGGCACGGTCCATATTGGTGAATGCGTTTCCTTGCATTCTAGTCGCATGTACGTGCTCGACCTTTCTTCAAGTCCAGCGCGGAGGGTATTGGTGGTCTTTGTTGAAGGGGGTCGAACCGTGCGGCATCCTAGGTCCAGCTCTCACGTGGGCTCGACGGGCCGATTACCACGAGTCCGGTCCGTGAGACAGTGACAGTCGCTCTGACTTCCGCTTTCACCTTTCACCACGACTGTCAACGCGTTACACTACATGCACCTCGACAATTGAAGATACAGAAGGATCGTCTCGGGGAAAAGCGAGTATTTTTAGAGTGCGTTGCGGCTCTCGAAGGAGTGTACGTTCTCTTCGTTACTTCTCTGCCAGTTCATCAAATCGACTGAAACTCGTTCATTCCAGGAAGGGAGCTTATTCACTTTGTACTGCAACTTGTCTATTGCACGATATCTGATCCCCAATGCACTATTCTTTCTCGATGACCCCGACTTTTTGTCTGACTCCCAAATTCTTTATCCAGTCTTCTTGTCCCTTCTGAGCTGGCTTACAATGGTCCTGTAGGCACAACCTGCTCAATTTCTCTGGAGTTTTCAACTCGTGATCTTGTGCAGGTGTTTACCTTCGTTCGGTTACGAATGTGACCTATATCGTTCAGCGCCCCCCACTTCACGTCCTTCCAGGATTCCCGAATTGAGGTTACAGGTTCCCGTGCTCCCCAGTCTCATGGTCAAGCAGCTGTTCAACTTTGCCTGTTCTCCGCGGGAACCGAAGCCCTCACTCTTTTGTGGAGATAATAACGTTCTCCCTCTCCGTAAGTGTTCTAGCGGTGGGAATACCTACAGGTAGGTGACGGAGTTCCTTCCTTGTCAAATGACCGAATACAACGATTTGAAAGCCATATGATGAACGACATTGTATGAAGATGGTGGGGCCTCAGTATAAAAGAGGAGACTGAATCATCGTTGAGACAAAAGAAAATATGGTACGTGCAATCACCTTTATTACAAGATGTTCCAACTGACCTCAAAAACCCATGAAAAGCGAAATCTCGCGTCTCTCTTGTCGCTTTCTGCGGTAGTACCTCTGTCTATAGGGGCTCGTAAGTCGCACTCTGATTCGTTGTCAAGGCGAAGTTACTTTCACTGATAGGCGACAATTGGAAACCTTGCTTCGTTCAGTTAGCCCGCCACTGTTCAAACGGCTACCCACCGGATCTATCAAGCCTACAGGATGGGCTCTTGACCAAGCTCGTGTTCAAGCCGAGGGGCTAGCAGGACATCTTCGACATTTCGACTCTTAGTACGCCTTATTCAGATCCCCGCCGGTAATTGTCCGAAACTCAACTATCTTTAGCGTCAAAGGGTCGATCTGGGTTGAAGGAGGGTCCATCGAGTATAGCGGCATGCACGAGTCAGCCCCTTACTGGTTGTAAGTAGAGCTTTAGTATACCTCAGTTATGATCTCTAAGCTGATTCTCGCCAATCTGTGCATCAGTAATGGC